TGACGGGGGTAATTCGTCTGCAGCGCCATCATGACAACCATGGAGACTCGATAACGCGACTAGTTACATATGTGCTTGGCAAATTTAGTGTCGCACACCTTGCTACGTCACACCTTGGATGCCCATGCAGCATGGAGCAATGTGGATTTGTCTGCTGTAAGTTTCGCCGAGGAGCCCTTCGCTGCACCGCGCCGCGACACTGTCGGAGGTCGCGGCTACGGTAAGAGCCGGGCCGTTAGGGTCGGGGAGGTGAGGGGGTCCGTCGCTCGCGGCTGCACCGGCAGACGGCGAACGGTACCGCCGGGGCTTGATGTCGCAACGGGGACCTACCATTCACCTGTCAGTTCCATGTACCGTCCCCGGCCGATCCCGGCGGGCTTACGCCACCATCGGGACACAAGCAAAAATGCTGAGCCCCGATTTGCATCGCGTAGACATTGGCACACCGCCCCGACCCGTTTCAGCCGTTACCTGATTACAACCCTATCACATGCGACCGCGACCTCGGGGAAGATCGCACGGTAACCGATCTCATTTGCCGCGCATCTCTGTTCCATATCTGTTCACGCAAGTGTGCCGATGAGCTGGGCCGGCTCGAGGCATGCAGAATATGCTGGAAAGATGTCGCGATTCATTGTGGCCTGGCATTGTATAGAGCATTGAAAAACAGCCGACTTCGTCATCTCATGACGTTTTCGTTTCCGGTATACCTGCCGTCAATCGGAAAGAAAGCCTAAGCATCAGCAGTTGTTCAGATGCATTTTTAGGTTTTGGCGAATTCAAAATACCCAGATTGCCTTTTTTAATGTACACAGTTTGGAAGCAAGTTTTTCAAACCTTGGACACACCAGACCGAGCTCTCTGAGCTGTTCTAAGTCATATGATTCCACTTCCCAAACATCACGTTTAAGCCTTTGTGCTTCGGACGGCAAATCTTTTCTCATCATCATATCACCGAAAATTGAAAGCGGGGTCCTGAGTCAGTAAACCAGATCGTTCCTGGAACTCCAGCTCGTTTTACTCGTAACACTAACACTCACACCACTCGTACCGTAATCAACAACATGAAGAGTCTCACCAGAAGTATAAAAGCACAATGCTCGCTAACACTTCAATTCATTTATTGTTATCTTTCCAATTGACGCTCCCCAGAGCGGTATGAGCCCCGAACAAAACGCACGCGGCATTGACTAGATATTTCGACACTGATCATTCGGTTACCGCCGGCGATCGCGCTGGCTTTACAAAAGCCGATATCGAACACGTGCCAAATTTTCAACAAGTGACTCTTGAACACCCGCACGATTTTTATACATCGTACACGAACCAGTCCCGGTCGCAGCGGCATCGAACGGTGCTCCCAACCCGACCTCCGGGCGGCTGCGGTAGCGGGCTGGTCCGCCGCCGCCGCCACCAGCCTCCTGTCCGAGCCGCCGCGCCGCGCCGGCGACTGGACCAATCCGACGGCCGCCGCTCCAAGGCCCCGGCCAATCAGGCGCCGACGCAAGCCGACCGCGATCACGCCGCCGCTCGTGAGCGTGGCGGTCGCCCCACAGAACCTGCGGGACGCCGTCCGACGGCAGCTACCTCCCGGTAGTGGCGCCGCTCCGCCGTCCTGCCCAAGACGCCGAGGCACGAGACTCGAGCCGGTCTCTCGGGACTCGAGAGGCCGGCCGAGACTCGGCCCGCGCGCCAGCAACGCGAGGCGGCGTCGGCGGTCGACTAGCAGTGCGAGGAGCCGGCCAGCTCGAAGAAGAGCACGTACGCTTCGCTGCTGCTGACCGTGCGCGACGAGATGGGACGCACCCTGCCAACACGGAGCCCGGTGAGGGCGACGTCCGGCCCACGCTGCGGTGTGGAGCGCCCCATTGGCGTTGTGGCACACGCGAATACACCGACAGTCGAAAGCATAACATATTTTAACAGTTCCAGTCTTCTTAAAACGTTGCTGTAAAACCTCACCTCTACAATATGATGCAGTGACATAAATTGACGTTGATACCTTACTGACATCATGTCGCAAAACGCGTACTAAACAAGCAGCTGTCGATGGATACATATTTCCGAGACGAGACTTAGAGGCTCACAATAACTGCGGTCAGGCCGGCACGATAAGATCATAAAAACAGCGAAATCTGCTGAAAAACGGACTGCTTACCTTTTGCCCAGTACAATTCACAACAGTCTAAAAGATAAAGTCCATGAGGCACCAAGTCTAGACACGCCGGCGAACGGGCCTACAAATGATGTGACCGTAAGCGCAAAGTTAAAATTCCGTACGAACGGAGCATCCAATGCCAAACACAGCAGGTGGGGAGCTTCCCCGGGTCAGAACAGCGGCGCTGGCCGTACGTACCGCGAGTCGTTGTACTCGTACCAGTCGCCCGAGAGCGGGTGCTGGCAGTAGGCCGTGTAGTGGCCCGAGAACAGCGTGCCGGAGTGGTTGGCCACGCCGTACAAGTTGTACCTGCGCCAGCAGAAGGTCCGGTCACACCACCGCCAGCTGCGTCAGCTCGCCACGCACGCCAAGGTCGTCACCGGTCCGACCTCACCGAAAGGGCCTCCTTACAACGCTGCCCGCCAGCCGCGCGGAGGGACAGGCGGCGACGGCCTCTGAAGCGCTGCGCCGCCCCGGCCACAGTCAGCCGCGCCCCTCACTCACTTGCAGGGCCCCTGTCCGGCCGAGTACGGACTGAGGTCGAGGCCGCTGACCGGGAAGTCGACAGCGCAGCCGAGCTTGCCCCGGAAGCGCTCCTGCGGCGAGAATCGCTTCAGGTGCACCACCAGGATGCGCGGGAACTTCTGGATGGAGAAGCCCTTGGTGCACCGCTGGCGCTTCTGACATTTGGCGCACGTCTGCGGGTGAGCAGCAGTCAGCACCCTCATGGTGACATGGCGCACGACAGGGTGCATTATTAAAGGCAATTCCACATTCAACGTGTCTGGAGCTTACACACCGCGGTCGATAATCGCAATACACGGGGACAATAACCACATCAGCACAAGTTTTGGAGACATGTATGATGTACTCAAAATCAAGGTTTCTCACGAATCTCAATGACTCTAATGCACCATGTGTACGCATGAATAAGGCCTGGAAGTGACGGGCGAGCGCACGGTCAGCTGCCGATCCCACCCACCTCGTGCCGTCCCATCCCCATCCCGTCCCTGCTCCCATTCCCGCTCCTGTTACCGTTCCTGTCCCCGCTCCCGTCCCCGTCCCCGTTCCCGTCCCCGTTCCCGTTCCCGTTCCCGTCCCCGTCCCCGTCCCCGTCCCCGTCCCCGTCCCCGTCCCCGTCCCCGTCCCCGTCTCGTCCCCGTCCCCGTCCCCGTCGCCGTCCCTGTCCCCGTCCCCGTCCCCGTCCCACTGACCGGCTTCTCGTCCCCGTCGAGGACCTCCTCCTTGGTGAAGAGGTCGAAGCAGGCCTGTAGTCGCACCTGGCCCGTCTTGGACGGGATCGGCAGGCTCAGATCCCAGAAGGGATCGAACGTAACCGACGCGTGCCCGCACACCGTGCACCTGCCGGGGTCACACCGGTCATAGAGGTCACACGCTGAACACAGGCGACAGGTCAGCGAGGTCAAACACCACGCAACTTCCGGGGTCAAACGGGTCACAGAGTCGCACGCTGGACACATGACAACGGGTCAGCGAGGTCAAACGCTGCGCACCTGCCGGTGTCACACGGGTCACCGAGGTCACACAATGAACACATGGTGACGGGTCAGCGAGGTCGAACGCTGCGCACCTGCCGGTGTCACACGGGTCAGAGGTCACACGCTAAGCACACGGTGATGGATCTGCGAGGTCAAACACCGCGCACCTGCCGGTGTCACACGGGTCACAGAGGTCACACGCTGAACACATGGTGGCGGGTCAGCGAGATCAAACACCGCGCACCTGCCGGTGTCACACGGGTCACAGAGGTCACACGCTAAACACGTGGTGACGGGTCAGCGGGGCCAAACACCGCGCGTCTGCGGCGACAGGCAGGTGCGCGGCGACACACTGAGGACCATCCATCTGTGATAGGCAAACCATAAAGGCCACACAACGAGCGCCTGTCACAAGTGAAGCCTCCACCAGGTCACCATCACAACTGCAGTGAATTTCGAGTGAATGGGATCACAGCCCAGAGTCGGCACGGAATCACGGTTGGGCACAGCCGCAAGCCGAGCCCTGCAGATGGGCACAGTATCCGCGGCGCTCACCTCAGGGTAGACTTGAGCTGGCCCACGAACAGGTCGACAAACTTGGAGTTTTCCAGGCGCAGAAAACGCTTCCAGGCCTCCATGGACTGCTGACTGGTACTGCAACAACAATGGCTCACATCGGCCAGGTTCCCATGGCTCCACATCAAGCGTCGCAGAGCATGTAAGCTGTTACAGATCCGTGGCAGCCGTCGACCGAGCCGTCCGATGGCTTTTGCACCCCTCCTGTGTGAGGCAGCACATGAGCGCAGCCGATCAACGCGAGGCCATGTCAGTCATCTCAGCGCACAGAGCCGCTGTCACCACACTGTTCTCAGATCGAAGCTCTGGATTGCTCTGGTCCTGACCAGCTCAAAGCTTTAAACTGCTCTGATCCTGACCGGCTCAAAGCTCTGAACTGCTCTGATTCCGACCGGCTCGAAGCTCTGAACTGCTATGATCCTGACCGGCTCGAAGCTCTGAACTGCTCTGATCCCGACCGGTTCGAAGTGCGGCGCCGCCGCCGTGGCACCACCGCCGTCGCGGGTGAACAGTAGCGCCCGGGCGGGGAGGGGGCACACCTGAGACTGTCGTCGATGTCGGTGGTGATGGGCCGGGGTCGGCTGGTGACGCGGTTCACATCCTCGTGCAGACCCTCGAGCAGGTACCTGAGCGGCGCCGGCTCGGTGTCAGTCCTACCGAGGAGTCACGTCCCTTCCCCCCCCCCCCCCCCCACACACACGCAGGCACACACGCATGCAACACCTGGAGGCGTCTGTTTCAGAGTGCTGCTGATCCAACATCTCTGGGCTGCCCATCGATCTCAACGATTAAACTCAACTGGGTGAGTGAGTCAAGCAGCTGATAGAAATCCCACCTGAGTAGCTCCATGATCTGGCAAACTATCGCCTGAGTATCATGCTGGCCCGAGTAACCCCTCTCCCAGCGCCCGATGCTGGCCCGACTAAACCCTCTCCAGCGCCCGATGCTGGCCCGAGTAACCCCTCTCCCAGCGCCCGATGCTGGCCCGACTAAACCCTCTCCAGCGCCCGATGGTGGCCCGAGTAACCCCTCTCCCAGCGCCCGATGCTGGCCCGACTAAACCCTCTCCAGCGCCCGATGGTGGCCCGAGTAACCCCCCTCCCAGCGCCCGATGCTGTCCTGAGTAATCCCTCTTCCAATGCCCGACACTGACCTAAGAAACTCCTGCGCGTCCTGCTGCTGGTAGCCCATGAAGCGCGGCGCGAACCGCTGGATCTGCGACTTGAACGGCGCCGTGGTCAGCACCACGTCCGCCTGGTCCGTCTTCTTCCAGAGGTCGGACATGAGCGTCGCGAACGCTGCAACGCAAGCGGCGGCTCATCAGCGGGGCCGCGACCTGGCCGCAGGACAGATAGGCGCCTGCGGACAGCAGCGGCGTGTTGGGTGTCGCCGGTCAAGGTGACTGCAAGAGGCACTTTGCAAGCATAGGATAGCGACTGGACGAACGCAACGGCTGGAGGCACGTCGGCCAGGCCAAACCTAGATCTGTGCGGGGGCCGGACAACCCATCCGAACCACCCAACCGGACTCTAGTGCAAAATACCGGAGGACCAGAGGACCAGGGGACCAGAGGACCAGAGGACCAGAGGTCAGCACGGCTGCCGGCGGGCAGGGGGCGTCCAGACACGGACGGCGGGGCGGAGGTCGCACAAGCGCTGCACTACAACCGTGAGGTCTGCCGTCAGCCCTACCTCTGATGAGCGCGCCTTTCATGGAGGACGTGGTGGTGTTGATGTCGGCCGAGTACTCGTCACGCAGGATGTAGTCGTGCAGGGCGCGCGTGTTGCTCAGACACTGCAGGACTGAGTTCATGAAGCACTGCCAGCGGACAGGTGGCGCACGGTCAGCGCCAGCGCCGTCAGACGCCGCCCGCCCGGCGCGGCGCAGGCAGACCAGCGCACGCGGCGCCGGTCACCAGTGCCCACAGGCAAGCACATGCCGTCGGCGACCATCGGGGACCCACGGCTCGGCTCGGCTCCGGGATAATCAGCCAAGCGTCACGTATCGCCGCACACACCGTGTTGCCGATGTTCCTGAGGCCGGTGAGGCCCGGCAGGCGGGCTGCCTGCCGGGGCGGACTGTCGGCAGGTCGGCGCCGGGAGGAGGAGGAGGCGGCGGCCGCGGCCGAGTCGGACGACAGCAGCGACGACCGGCGGCCGGCCGGCGAACTCAGGGTCTGCCGGCAGGTGGCGACACCGATCAGCGCGGTAGCGACGGTGGCGGAGGCGCGCAGCAGTGAGCGCCACCAAGAGTCTGCATGTAAACATTTGTACGGGTGTATAGCGTCATAATGCAGATGACTCTCACGTCCCTCTCCCCTTCCCCTACCGAGCCGTACGCTGAATGTTTCGCCGTTCTGTGCACCTTCTGATGCACAACAGTTCTACCTTTTTCCGCGTACCCAGTTATGTATGGTCCCTTTATTTCGCATGCAACGGCTATTAGCCGTTCCCTTGCAACGTGTAAAAATAACTCAACACGGATCACGCCAACTTATGTTCTCCTTCTGCTTCTGTTACCAGCGCTAACATCAGCACGAAGCACATGATGCCCGTCTGTTAGAAGCAGGGCTTTGCGTGTAACACAACAAAACTGGCCGTGCCAAACTGCCAATCACAATAAAATGTCAGCAGTTCGTAGTATCCAAACAAAACTCCTGCCACGCCGGTAGAAGCATTAGAACATCTTCGCCAGGAAACATAACTCAAAACACTATAGTTCCAGACGACGAACTTCTATGTCAACCACTGCGAAAACGCTCACACAAACGGCTTCTGCGAAGGAAACATGAGGCGTAAGGGCACTGTTTCGACAAAGCCCTGTCAGCTGCACGTTAGCGACGGCGGCCGACCGGCTTCCAGCCACCATGAGGCGTAAGGGCACTGTTTCGACAAAGCTCTGTCAGCTGCAGGTTAGCGACGGCGGTCGGCCGGCTTCCAGCCACCATGTAGGGCTTCTCACGAGGCCCCAACAGATGACACGCGAGGTGCCGCGGCAGGCGAATTGCTCACTCCGCTGTGGTGGTGCTGCCAAGGTCTCACCGCAGCGGAGTGGATAGGGGTCGGCGCTGCCACAGGGTCGGCGCTGTTTAACGTGTCTAGCTAAGCGTTAGGCCGGCCGGCAGCTCGCCGTCCGGAGCTCGCGCGAGCGTTAGAGCCGCCGGCGGCTGGCGACGGGCCGCCGCGTGCGCCGGCCGCCCAGCGCTCGAGGCAATGTTAGAGCGGCGGGGCGCGTGGCCGCCAGTTACCTGGCGCTCGCCAACCTCATCTGCCAGCGTGGGGGTCAGGTCAAGGGCGCGCCGCGGCCGCGCCACCGGCGTCGACAGGTACCGCTCCCACTGTCACCGGGGGGCAGAGGGGCGGCGGTGAACGGCGGGGGCCGCCGGCACCGCCGCAGTCGCGCTCCACCCGGCCCGCTGTACTGAGCACCAGCGCCCGACAGTCGCCTGAGAACCCACCTAGCGCACCATCGGGAGCCATGGCCCAGCTGGCCGCGAGTCACGCTGGCGGCGGCGGGACGCCCGCCTCACAATGTCACAGTGCAGCCGACAGCGGCACACGCACCGCCGTCAGTCCCTGCCACTCGTCCACCAGCTAGCATTGGAGGGGAGAGAGAGCTTCAGCGCTCCAAGTACGGCGGGAGCCCGATGCCGACAGGTCGATCGCTCGACGCGCGTCACGGTCGCTTCACGGGCTAGCTGCTCAAGTTCCACCGCTGATGATGGGAATACCTGGCCAGTCACGGCACGCCACAGCCCAGAGGCTAACAGACAACAGAAACGCCACGTCAGATATAACACAGGCCTGTTCTTCAATTGGGTGCGCAACATTACGACAGCCCGCGGACACCAGACCGCAAAGCACGGACGTCTGGCCGCGAACACGCTCGCGGGACCCTTCCACGCAAAACGCATATCACAATGATGGCGTGCCGCACTACAAACGACTCGCGTCCGTCCGCAGAAAATGGGGTGCCATGTGTCATGACTGCGATGACCAGGCCCATCATCTTGGCCACATGAGCGGCATGTCGCAACCGACACTAGGCGAAACAGGGCAGCCAGCAGCGCCCACAAGACCCATCACGCGGGGCGCGCATCGTTGCGCCGCCGCTTAGCCGGTCCGCTCCCTATACATGAATTATTAACGGCGTTCACGACGCTAAACACTCGGGCGCCGTCAGCAGACCGCGTGACCGACACTAAGTGCTTTCTGAAGATGACATGGGCACGGGCGGTCTGGCAGCCACGCCATTGCCGCTGCCAGGCGCCGGCGCGCGGCATGAGCAATGGCCCGACGCGCCGCAGCAAGGACCGGACTCCATTTGGCCAGTGATGCCGCTCGACACGCTGCATTGCAGAGGCGAAATCAATACACGGTCTGCCGAGCACATATGCATCCCTAGCCTGTTCGGCACGCAAGCGGTTCAGTGTTCAGCCAGGCAACAGCGGAGTTTGCAACACCTAAGCAAATATTCCTTGGTCCTGTGGTATCTATGGTCTTCGCATCTCTGCTGTGCACGCCCTTGTCCTTTGATCCGGTATCCCTAAGCATCCATGGCATCGCGACGGCGTGAAAATTTCGCGGAAATGCGTGGACGCAACGAACAGTCAAAGCCACAAAATACAAAGGTCCTAAGATTTGATCAACCCCGGTGCAGTGTGTTAGCTTGCACTGACCTGGCGCGTATGTTTACCAAATCAAACAAGTTAGCCCCTCACCACCATCAGGACCATGCCAACGCTCACACGGGCCAGGAGAGGATGACCGCCGCAGTTCAGTCCCGGGGCATCCTCGTGCGTCGCTGGCTGCAGCTGCTGTCGTCAGCTTTTCCCCCCTGGACTACGATGAAATGCCCTGTAATGGTGCCGCTGACATTTCGCGCCGCTTGAGACACAGCTCTTTTCGCGCCCTAAGGCCTCGTGTTCGGTGACGAGGGGCAGCTTAATACTGCGCGCGCGACGACGTCCTACATTGAGCGGAACGGTGAACGGACAGCAGCGCAACAATGCGTGTTGCCACGCGAGCGATCCGAAGCCAGTCGGCAGCCAAGCGACCGTTGACGTCACGGCCCATCCAGCCGCGGGGCCGCTGAGGACGCGGACGCTAGAACTGATAGAGAGCGGCGCCAATTCGAAGCCGCCGCCGCACTGTCCTGCAGAGGACACACTGTGCAGGGGCGTGCCCTGCAGGGATGCCCCGCCCGCCTCCGACCACGGACGGCCGCTTGACACGGCGGCCGGGCCGGGGACCGCTCGAACGACTGGGAATGCGGCGTGGCCCTCCGCAGCACGAGCATGATAGCGAGTGTCACGACTGCCGCACGCCCGGACCGTCTGCGGCGCTCTCGACTTATTTGGAAAGGTGGCAGGGACTGATGCCAAATGGGATTACGTTCATCCAGAGTCCGGCGAGTCCAGGGAAACCAGCGAGTCCTGAAAGGTAACACTATTGCAGTGCAGAGTGCTTTGAACCACGACAAACATCTTATGAGGACGCGGATACTTCACTGACAAGGCCATGGACCTCAGCAGCCCTTTTCCCCAGACAAATGTGTTAATTGCGCCAAGATATGGATCTCTTCATCAAGTCTCCCTCATCCGTTTTCCTACGTCACGTGCCATGATGGAACGTGACAACACGAACCAGGCGGCCACGCAGCGCGTCGTGGTGCCTCGCCCCCTACCTTCTCAATGGCGGCACTCCTCTGCTGAGCGTCGAGGCCGTTGGCGGCGGGCGCGCCGGGTGAGGCTGGCCGCGCGCGGCCGCCAGCCACGCGCTCGGCGCTCTCGCGGCTGGGCGCCGAGCGCTCGGCGCCGGACGAGAGCAGCGAGTCGAGCCGCGCCGCGTCCAGCTGGCGGCGCAGCTCGGCCACGGCCGGCCGCTCGCCCTGCACGACGATCGGCACGAGGCGCTCGTGCGGCGTGGGCTCGACCGAGGCGCGCCAGCGGCGGTGACCGGCCGCCGGCTCGCCGTCCGGCTGGCGGCTCTGGCTGCGCGCCAGCCGCAGGTAGCGGCGCGCCTCACTCTCGGGCTCGGCCGAGCAGCGCGCGCCGGCCGGCTCGGCGCGCCGCCGCGGCTCGGAGGTGGGCAGCGGCGGCCGGCGGCCGCAGCCGGTGCCCGTCAGCCGCCAGCCGCTCTGGCTGGAGAGCGGCAGGTGCGCGCCGCGCTCCAGACTGCCGGCGCGGAAGGCGGCGCCGCGCGGCGTGTAGGACGAGTAGCTGGAGAGCGACATCCGCGACGAGACAGGCATGGCGGACCAGCAGCTGGTCAGGCGTGACAACGCGACGTCGCCGAGCTCACAGTTCATCCCGCAGCGCAGAGGTCAGCCTGAGAAGCACCGACAGCCGTTAGATGGCGCAGATCACGGTCAGATGCTGGCACTTGTCAGTCAGGTCACGCGGGTCGCACAGGGGTCATTTGGTCACAGCGGACACTGCCGGTTCAGTAGCAACCACAGTATGAAGGAGACTGGGACAGCCAGGCACGGGTGAAGAATGATGTGGGAAACTGGTTTGGCAAAACTGGAAGAACGAGCATCTGTTTACCGTACAGTGGTAAGCCTGCGCCGATACGACACACAGTTGAATGGGCGGCTACTGCGCCTGCCACGTGTGAATATTGCACACCCCCGATGCCCCTGAGTCCGCGGGAACGTGCCAATCTTGAAGAACTGTCAGTCGGGTGGTGGTGAAAGGTCACGTCGTTACGCCGCAGTTCAGCTGCGATGTCGCCGGGTCTGGCCGCTGTTACCAGCCGGCTCGCGTGGCGCACGTTCAGTCACGTTCGACTGACCCCACCCCCATTCCCCCCCCCCCCCCTATCGGGAATTGTGCTGCAGCGGATCGGGTGGATACAGGCCATAGTACAAGACGCTTCATGAACAGCCCCTTTCTTACCCTTTTAAATGGCACCTAACCGTGGCCTATCCAGACGTTAGTGATCCCTGCCTACCTGCTGACTTTCAAGACGCACCGGTCGTATCTGATCCACAGCATTAGTACCAGCTCGCCTGCGTGGCGGACATCGAACCGACCTCCGGCCAGCTCCAGCGCGCTCATGGTTATAACGGGGGGGGGGGGGCGGGGAGGCCCCCGTAATGTCGCCAAAGCAGCTGAGTTCTCACGCCGTAAATTGATCTTTAAAGGTTTATTCGTATCATGTCATCGTCTCATTCCAGGAGTAACGCTTTCCGTCGCCTACCACTCAGGCCAAACCTAGACAGCGTGCAGGACAGGGCCAGAGTTGTGCTGTCCCTGCCGCCACTGAGGCACCTGTAGGGAATGGATCGGTTTTTCTGATCCAATCTTCAGAACAAAGCTACGAACGATACCCAGCCCCATTACCCCATTATCCCATTACATTACCCCCGAACGAAATGGCAAATTTGTGAGACCATCCCAAACTTATCTGATGAAAATATATGAGGAGCACGGTTACGCCCACCTAATCCGGAATGCATTTTGAAGTTATGTGGTATATGTTGACATCATTTCCGGTCTGCTGGATGTCTGTGGAGTGCCTGGAACTTCTCATGGGCCCCTTACCGATCTGATGACCGACCTATCTTGATGTTTCTACGGTTGCGTGGGCGTCCAAACCGCCCTTTGGCCGTAACTGGGTCCACTCGACCCTGGGCTCGACCAATCGACCCGCTCGCGCAGCGAGGCATCAGTGCCATCTGCGCGGCGCGGCCGCGGAGCTTCTGCCCCTCACGGGCGATCGGCCGTTTACGGTGCCAGATCGCTCCGGAGTCCTTCGATTAACTCGAAGGCCGACGGTCTGAGAGCTCTCTCGTCGTCGGTCCCGTGGTGCTGTGACCGTGTCGAGGCCACTAAAGCACTGTCGGCTATTCCTTCTACCCACCCCCATTACACGCCGTGGCTAATTATGACAGATCACCTGGCTATCACATGTGACCGGCGGCCGCTGGCCGGGGCCCGGTCCTGCTCCAGTGCCGCAGGGCAGGTCGCTCCGGCCGCCGGCTCCGGCAGCCGGCCGCCCAGGGTCGCCGCCTCCGGCCGCGGCTATTTCGGCGCGGCGCCGTGGCCCTCCCCGCTCCCATCGGAAAACAAGCGTCGCGCGCCGCGCCGCCGCCACTAGCCGGCAGCCGGCCGCTGGGGCCTGGGAGGCGTCCTCAGCGCGGCGACAGACGAGCGCAAGCCGGTCCGGCTCCACCCCGGCCCGCACCCAGATCTGACGGCCGGCCACGGAACGGGACGGGACGAGACGGAACAGAACGGAGCGGAACGACCCATTTGCAACTTCCCACCAGCCTGAACCAGGCGGCGCCAGCCGGCGGCGACCGACCCGCCGCAGCCACCGCCCAGCGATCTCTCACATCCGCTCCGGACGTCGGCGACTGTTCAGCCCCGTCGGCGGCGGCGACGGTGACCAGTCACCGGCCGCCGCTCCCCTGCGCCGCCCACGGCGATCGGCGGACGGCGGGCTCCGAGCCCACTTGGCCGGCGGCCAGCGCCTAACGAACGAAGCTGGGGCAGCGACCGCACGGGCGCAGCCAGCCCACCATCTGAGGGCACTTCCCGGAAATGGTGAGAACTGTTCGGGCACATAGAAATACGATTTGTGTTCAGTTACGCGCATCGGGTTTTCACGAACCCGTTGACCTTTTTTCCTGTTTTGGCTTCGCCCTTGGCAACCGCCGCGCGGCCGGCGGTGCCGAGGTGGTCCAAGGTCAGGGGTGTGACTCAGAGCTCCGATCGGGTGACTGAGGCTGCTGCTGTCGACAGAAAGAAAGAGGAATAGGGAGATAGAGAAAGGAAGTGCAAGACGGAGAGAGGAGAGGGCCACCGGAAGGGGAAGAGGGAAACGAAAGGAAAGAGGGATGCTGATGAAGACGATGAGAGAGAAAATGGAAAACACAGAGTGAAAGATGGAGACGGAGAAAGGAAGAGCAAGAGATGGTGAAAGCGGCAGAAGAAGGCACACGACTGACTAGAAAGACAGCATACCGAAAAATGAGGATTTAGCGTCAAAATCGTAAGCAAAAGTTTGGGAGAAGAGAAGTCGACGATAATTGTGACAGTGAGGTCAATCTAACACGGAAAGAGTGATTGGAGTACGGAGGCGTGCCGAGACCAACAGCTGAATACGAGTGGTGAGTACGAGTGCGGCGCGCGGTCCGGTCAGTATGCGGTCAATGTGTTGTGTGCCGGGCTGGGTGCAGCGGTCGTTCGGGCCAGCGCACCGATCGATGGCGGAGTGGGCCCGTCTGACCGGTCCCCGGACCAGTGCACCGAGCGGCCGCGCCGCACGCACTCGGGTGACCCGCCTCCGTCCCGCCGAGCCACCACACCGGGCGTCTACACCGCCGCGAGCCGAACCCCCCTCCTCCATACACACACACCGATGCACGAGAGACACCGGCGGACCGGTCCCCGGACCAGAGCACCGAGCGGCCGCGCCGCACGCACTCGGGTGACCCGCCTCCGTCCCGCCGAGCCGTCACACCGGGCGTGTACACCGCCGCGAGCCGAACCCCCCTCCTCCACACACACACACCGATGCACGAGAGACACCGGCTGACCGGCGCCCGTCCCGCCGGAACGGGACGGGGCGCCGAGCCTCGACCGAGCGTCCTAATGGGATGACGCGTGGCCAGCCGCGGCGCCGCCTGCCAGGAGGCGGCGTGCTGGCCGGCCGAGGCGGCCCGTCAGGTCGCTAATCGACCGGCGACAGCGTCAGCCGGCTCAGCGCCGCGTCGGTGCCTCGACCTCCGACTAACGCCCGCCACACAGGCACACATGGCGCCTGTGACACGCGACGGCGCGTCCGTCGAAGGGCGGCGGTGTCGCGGCCGGGCTTGGCTCCACATTCGGCTGGCCGTCCCGCGCCCGGCTGCGGTAGTCGGTTTTCGCGAGCGGTACAGACACGACTGGAGCCGACATACACTTTGTGACTGTTTGTGCGCTGTCACCACGTGAACAGCTGGCGAGGAAGACAATACAACCTGCATGGAACGGCAACATAACCTGTCACGCTTCGGCGTGTGCCGAGCCAGACGTGCGATCATTTACATTGCTACGTTACAAACCACGTTCCTTTGACTGAGCGGGGTACAACACACAAGCAACTCACAAGGGATCAGGTTTATCGCGGACGCGACGATCGTCTTGCTCCTTTCCATGCAAAGCTACAAGGTTGACGTTACTTTTTACATGGCTGGAGGCTCGCACCTAGCGCGAGGGATGTTTCAGGCACGCTGGGAGCCCGACACTGGTCTTATATCTAGTGTTGCGCCGAGCCATTACGAACGGCGTGAAGCAGCCCGTACCTTTAATCAAATAACACGTAATGGCCACGTATTTAAGTGAAGTGTCGGCTAATGGCAAAAGATTAATAACATTTCGATGCGTTCGTGCCACGTCCTCACACCGAAGATTTCTGTTATTTCATAACTTAGCGGCTACTTCTCATTCGTATGAGCTTTTGTTCCCAGGCAGGGCGAGCAATGGAACCGTGTAAACTAAGCTCTCGTTTGAGGGCGGCCAGACGTTTGGTACACTTGGTCAGCCATTGGTGCTCTGTCACCCGTCTGGCTCCTACGATCGCTCACGCAGTATAGCCGTTTTCGGCCGCGATAGCATACCATGAACAGTGGTCTACTCCGCCCCACGCGCATCCATTACCTTTGCGATCAAGACGGCTCAGGTTGCAACGCGCTTTGTCCCTCGCGCTTATCCTATGTCCCTCGCGCTTATCCTTTATCCCTTGTGCTTATCCTTTGTCCCTCGTGCTTATCCTTTCC